TCCTCTTCAGCCTCCCTAGTAGCTAGGTCTACTGGTATGTGCCACTGTGCCCAGCTAATTAAAAAATATATTTTTTTTAGAGACAGGGTATTGTTTTGTTGCTTAGGCTGGTCTCAAACTCCCAGCCTCAAGTGATTCTCCCATTTCAGTCTCCTCAAGTGTTGGAATTATAGGCATGAGCCACTGCACCTGACTAAATATAGCCTTTTAAATGATTTTTTTTTTTTTGAGACCAAGTCTTGCTCTGTAACCCAGGCTGGAGTGCAGTGGTGTGAATGTGGCTCTCTGCAAACCTCGACCTCCTGGGCTCCAGTAAGTCTGCCTCAAGCCCCCCAAGTAGCTGGGATTACAGTTGCATGCCACCACTCCCAGTTAATTTTTGTAGGGATGGGGTTTCACCATGTTGCCCATTCTACTTTCGAACTTCTGAGCTCAAACAAATCTGCCTGCCTTGGCCTCTCAAAGTGCTGGGATTAAAGGCATAAGCCATTGCACCCAGTGTGATATTTGGAAATATTAAAATATGTCATTAAATCTTAACATTTGCTTTAATTGTGGCTTAAAATGCAAATTTCATTAATAATTTTTTTAAATGTTTGAAAGACATTTTGGAAGTGCTGACTGTGAATCTGAGAGAGAGAGTATCATCGAAATATGACCTGAACTCTTCAGTAATGATTTAGTCTCTTACTCTTGCATTGGAAGTTTTTTCAGTTTAGTTGCCCCCATCGCTGTGTGTGAATGGTTTTTCTCTCAAGCATGGGGAAACATTGGGATGAAAACCAACCCTGAATTATTCTTGCTGTCTGGGAAAAATTACATGAACATTAGAATGTGAGATCATCTGAAAAAAGTAAATTTTGGCCTCTCTAGTCATTTCTTACGACCTCTTTCTCAATAAAACTTTATTGAGATGGGAAAAATATGTTTGGTTGGTGCAAAAGTAATTGCAGTTTTTTTGAAAAGTAATGGCGTGGCTGGGTGCGGGGGCTCACACCTGTAATCCCAGCACTTTGGGAAGCTGAGGCAGGTGGATCACCTGAGGTCAGGAGTTTGAGACCGGCCTGGACAACATGGCAAAATGCTGTCTCTACCAAAACATACAAAAATTAGTTGGATGTGGTGGTGGGCGCCTGTAATCCCAGCTACTCGGGAGGCTGAGGCAGGAGAATTGCTTGAATCTGGGAGGCAGAGGTTGCAGTAAGCCAAGATCGAGTGACTCCACTCTAGCCTGAGCAACAGACCGAGACTCTACCAAAACATACAAAAATTAGTTGGATGTGGTGGTGGGTGCCTGTAATCCCAGCTACTCGGGAGGCTGAGGCAGGAGAATTGCTTGAATCTGGGAGGCAGAGGTTGCAGTAAGCCAAGATCGAGTGACTCCACTCTAGCCTGAGCAACAGACCGAGACTCTGTCTCAAAAGAAAAAAGAGTAATGGCTAAAACTGCAATTACTTTTGTACCAACCTAACAGTAACAGAATTGAATTTCCAGCTGAAACCCACTCCCACCTGGACTCTTGTGAACCATTCCTCATTCTGAGCTACCTGCCCAGATCACTCGTTCAGGGCTTAGCGGTTTGTGTTGTTGGTCATCTTTTTGTTTTGTCCACATTTTCTACTGATACTCTCACCTGCTGGAAGGTGAGTTACTGAAGCAACCCTGTCTTTTTCACCTCTGTATCCCCAGCCATTTCCCAGATGCTGGACAGCAAAGGTGCCTGATCAGTGGGTGCTGACTGAACCTGACTCAATGAAGCAATGGCTCCCATAGGCCATAATGGAATTCCTTTCTCCACCATTAACAGCTCACATCATTCAGGGCCTGAGAGTGAGTTTGGAGACCTGACATTTGGAGAGCTGCTTGGACAAACCGAAAGAAAGCCTGGCCCAGAAAAAAAACTCGAACATCATCTGGGCTTACATTTTCATCTTGCAACTGAGAAAAGGGAGACTGAGGAGGTAAGGGTATCATTCATTTGATGTCCCTGGTAAGCAATGAAGTTGAGACGAACCCTCATGCCACTTGGCTTCCAGCCCAGGCTCCTTCCCCTTTGTTACCAGGCTTTTCTGCTCCAAGGGATGTATGCCACTCCTTTCATACTGGCACAGAACATTTCCAAGCTGTTAAGCATTGTGCCATCTCCAGGAAGAGGAGCCTCCTCCCACCTTGTCTTAGGAGAGCTCATTTTTCACTTACAGCTCTTGGCAATAAACAACTCAGGCGAAACGGGTTGTTTCTTACAAGGAGCAGCCACGCAGTGATTGCTCCACTCTGAGGGTCTGACTCAGCCCTTCCTCAGCTTCTGGGCTTATTTTAGCCCCACGTTTCTGGAGGAGGAAATGAGAACATGATCAAGAATGCCGTGGGAAGAGCCTGGGGCCCTCCAGTTCTCTCGGGGAGCCTCGGGAAGCTCCTTACAGTTCCAGCTGCTGTATAAATTCACAGCCAAGGGCTCCTACAGAATTGGGCTGCCAGCCTGGCCAGCCTGGTGGGTGTGCTCCACTGTAAGAAAGCCTGCCATTTGGAAATGAGAATTAGAGCAAAAGGATAAATTTGAGGTTGATTATTGACCTAGCAAAGAGTTTCTTTCCTTTCTTTACTAAAAGTGGGATAGTAGAAAGAACGAGTCTATTGAAGTCTCAGATTCTATTTATGAGCCATGAAAACTTGGGCTTCGGATTCACCATTCTGAGACTGGGAACTGTAGTCTTGGGCTGGGTCTTGAAAGACAAGGGAGGAAGGTAGAAAAGGAGTTATAGGCAGAAGAAGGGGTCTCTGCAAATGCCTGGAGATGTGAAAATGCATAACATGTTCAGGGAAATGTCTGGAATGGCTGCAATCAAGTCAGACAGGGAAGATAGATGGGATCGGTAGCAGCCTACTCACTCTTCGTATAGCACCTCTTGCATGTTTCTGCTCACACAATTTTGCTTAAATCACTCTCTTTACCCGAAGGCTTTCCTTGTTCTCTCCAGCTATGAAATCTTCCCATTGTCACTGGTATGTGCTCCATCTGTCCTATGGAGCATTTCTTGCTGTCCTAGGCCACAAGGTCCCCTCCACAGGCTTCTATCAGCATCTCCATCAGTGCAGCTCATTTAGCCCCTAGCCCTTGCTCTGTGTGACTGGTAATACTTTCATCTCCAACAGAATCAGAAATCATTCATATAAAAGCTTTCTTATCCTATCTGTCTTTACTCTCCCTCTATGTTGACTTTCCATTGCTAGGTAACAATTATGGCAAACTTAGAGGTCCAAAGTAACACCTACTTATTAGCTCACAGTTGCATAGGCCAGATGTCCAGCGATGACATTGATGGGTTCCCTTTGCAGGGTCTCACAAGGCTGAAATCAAGGTGTCATCCAGGCTGTGATTCTTTTTGGATACTCTGGGGAAAAAAAATCCATTTCTGTATTAGTCTGTTTTCACACTGCTGATAAAGATATACCTTAGACTGAGTAATTTATAAAGAAAAAGAGATTTAACTCATGGTTCCACATGGCTGGGGAGGCCTCATAATCATGGCAGAAGGTGAAAGGCACATCTTACATGGTGGCAGACAGAAGAGAAGTGATAGCCAAGCAAAAAAAAAACCCATCAGATCTTGTGAGATGTATTCACAACCATGAGAACAGTATGGGAGAAACTGCCCCCATGATTCAATTATCTCCCACTGGCTCCCTCTCACAACATGTGGGAATTATGGGAGCTACAATCCATGATGAGATTTGGGTGGGGACACAGCCAAACCATATCAACTTCCAAAGTCATTGAAGTTGTTGGCCAAAATCAGCTCCTTGAAGCTGTAGGATAGAGGTCCCTGTTTCCTTATCAGGGGCTTCTCTTACCTCCTACCCACATTCCTTGCCTCATGGTCCCTATGGACAGTTCACAACATGGTTGTTACTTCTTCCAGCCCAGCAAGAGCACATCTCTGACTTCTTCAATGACCAACCTCAGAAACACTTCCATTTTTAAAGAGCCCATTTGACTAGGTCAAGCGTACCTTGAATTATCTCTAAGTGACTGTGTCACCTTATCACAGGAATAATAGCCATCATGTTCATAGACTCAGGGATTATATAGGACATATATACCATGGGGGTGGGGATCCTAGGGGACATCTGAAAATTCTGCATACCACATCCTCCAAGATCCTTTCTATGAAGGAAGAAGTTTTTTCTGTCAGGGTCGGTTTCTGACTCTCCCTTGTTAACCAGGAAATGGGCAGATTTCCACACAGATGCAGTGAGAAATAGAGTCAGATTTCCTCTCCCAAGAGATTGCAAGATGTAGAAACAGCTGGGAGTGCAGGCTTGTAGAAATGGAATGGGGCCTGTGAACATCAGGACTGGAGGAAGAGGAAGGAAAGGGAAACAGCTTATGGGTGAGGGGATGGGCATGAGAGGCAAGACTTCAGGCTACCACATGAATGGGAAACAGAGAGAAAGAGGCAGAAAAGAATTACAGACTTGATTTCAGGTAAACATTTGGTAGGAAAAAGAATGAGAAAGGAAATGGAAAGGAATTTAAAAAAATATTTTAAAAGACTGCTTTCAGTTGTAAATTGCATCCTTTGGGACACGGTTTGAAAGGAACCCACAAAAACATAAATTTGCTTTGAATAACATTGGTTGCTATGCTGTCTTTCCTTGAATGTGACATTGTGCAGGGACTGAGCCTGTTGACATATCTTCCTATTGCATATGTAGGTACCTTAACTGCTTGGTTAGGCTACAAGCAGGGTTGTCCTGTAACATCAAAAGAAACACCAAACAGCAAGTTAAGAGAAGTAATGATGGGGTGTGGCATGTGCCTGCAGTCCCAGCTACTCAGGAGGCTGAGGCAGGAGAATCGCTTGAACCCAGGAGGTGGAGGTTGCAGTGAGCTGAAATTGCACCACTGCACTCCAGCCTGGGTGACAGAGCAAAACTCTGTCTCAAAAAAAAAAATTTTAAAAATAAAATAAAATAAATAAAAAATAAAAAGAATTCAAGTTTCAGGAAAAAAAAAGAGAGAGAAGCATTGATTTTCATAGAAATGTGCCATGTAACATCATGAGACATCTATTTCATTTATTAAACAGAATACATAGAATCTCATGCCAATGCCAGACATATGGGAATCCTATCTGAGAGCTTTTCAAGGTCAAGAACCATGTCTTGATCATACCTGTTTTCCCTAGTTCCTAGTACAGAGTAGATATATGAGAAAATAAGCCTTGCAATTGAACTTGTTTGATTAATAAATATGATAGCTGACATGTATAGATTACTTACAAAATTTCAGATAACATTCTGAGGTATTACTATTTTTCCTGTTTCGATTATGAAAACTGAGGCACAGAGAGGTTAAGTGACTTGCACAAGTTCACGCAGCTAATAAATGCCAAAGCCAGAAATTTAATGTAAGCATTTAGGTCTTTAGTCTATGCACTTGCCATAAGCAATGAACCTCTAGTACAGAACAGTGAGGATAATATACTGCAGGTCTTCTACCTCCAAGGGAGTAAGACCCCGAATGGATGTGGAAGAAGTTAATGCAGAAGCTCCCTGGGCACCATGTATTTTCTAGAAGCACTGGAGAACAAGCTGCAATCTCTAAGCTCTTGCTACTAAATCGTGGTGAACCAGCAGCATCGGAACACCAGGGAGCTAATTAAAAATGCAGAATGAATGAATCTGCACCTGATGAGTCATTCTGCACCTAATGAATCAAACTCTGCTTTTTGACAAGATCACAGGTAATTCATGTACATATTAACGTTGAGTAGCACCACTCTAAAAATATTACCTAGACCAGTACAGTCCAATAAAACTTTCTGCAAGGTAGAAATGTTCTATCTCTACACTAGTAACTAGCCACAGGTAGCTATTACACTCTTGGGCCACATGGCTATTAAGCACATGTGACTAATACAGCTGAGGAAGTGATTTCCTTATGTTCTTTGGATAAACTTAGATTTATTCATTTATTTATCTAATTTTTAATTTTTTTTTAGATGAGTCCCACTCTGTCACCCAGGCTGGAGTGCAGTGGCTCAATCTCAGCTCACTGCCTCAGCCTCCTGAGTAGCTGGGATTACAGGCATACACTGTCATGCCTGGCTAATTAAAAAAATTTTTTTTTTTTTTCCGTAGAGATGGGGTTTTGCCATATTGGCCAGGCTAGTCTCAAATTCCTGACCTCAGGTGATCCACCCACCTCAACCTCCCAAAGTGCCAGGATTATAGGTGTGAGCCACTGCATCCCACCAAACTTGGATTTAAATAGCCTCATGTGTTTAATGGCTACCATTTTAGATAGTATAGGTTCTAGATTTATTGTTCTCCTCTGTTTATTTCTCTGTGATCCAATAATCTGTGTAAAGTTAAGAGTCCAATCTTGAAACAGCTGTTATGGAAATGCAGTGGAGGATTTTGTTTCTCCTCCTGACTTGGAGTGCATCATAGGAAGCGTGGAATCATAGCACTGAAAGCATTTCATGATCTGGCCAATCCTGTTCCAGGCCTGGCACACCTATGTGCTTCTTCAGCAATCTGTGCATTTTCCTATGCTTAGTATTTAGTGTCATCCTCTGCTTACCAAACTGTATTCAATGCCAACTGCAAGCTGTCCAAGCCCACAATAAAACCTTATTAGAAAACATAATATAACCTTCAGGGCACCCTCAGGCATAAGTAAGAGGAAAATACTGTTCACTGGAAGCACGCCTTGCCCACCTTCTCATTTTAAATTAGCATCCTCCTCTTCCACACTCCTTAGCTATTTTCCATGCCTTATTTTGCTCTGTACCATTTGACACATATTTGGAAGGATAGAAAACCTTTTTCCTCTACCCTCCTAGGTTCTCTGGCTACGACCCTGCAAATTAGACTGACACAATTTATATTCACAGGAGAGAAACACAGTTTCTTAACACATGAGAGAAACCTGATGATGAGTAACTCAAAGGAGTGGTTGAAATTTGGACTTACGTAGCATCTTAAAGAGCAATAAATTTGTAGATAAATGCTTAGACAAAGGATAAAGTTTTAGGTTTCTTAGGTCTCCCGGGTTGGCATCTGTGGGAAGGTAAGCAAATGGGGAAACTAACAGTGTAAAGCTTGTTTATTCAGTTACATCTTGGTACTCACATTCTGTCCTCTTCACAGCCATGAAACTTCCCTGGGGAAGGTACGGTTGGGGGTGGGATTTACAAAAGTCCTCATTTCTCAGAAGTTTCCACTTTTAGTTAGAGAAGGCAAACTCTAGGAAGGCTTCTTTCTGCATCTATTGAATCACAGATGCCTCCAGCATAAAGTAATATTTGTGCCAAAGTGACACATTTTGGAGTGGCATATTTTGATCCACTCTACATGCTATATATATATCTTTTTTTAAAGTTTATTTATTTAATTTTTGAGACAGGGTCTTGCTCTGTCACCCAGGCTGAAGTGTAGTGGTGTGATCATAGCTTACTGTAGCCTCAAGTGATCCTCCCACCTCAGCCTCTAAGGTAGCTGGGACCACAGTCACGTGCCATCGTTCCTGGCTAATTTTTTTGAGTTTTGGTTAAAAAAAAAAAAGGTCTCACCATGTTCCCATGCTGGTCTTGTACTTCTGAGCTCAAGAGAGTTTCCTGCCTTGGCCTCCCAAAGTGTTGGGATTACAGACATAAGCCACTGTGCTTGGCTTACATATTTTACTAGCTTATTTGTATGGCTTCATTTCAATGAAAGCTTTATGAAGGCAAATACTAAGTGTTTGAGATAGAAAAATAGACATTCCAATGGTTTTGTGTATCTAGTTATATAGTAACAGCTACCATATAATTAAGTTCCTGATGTATGCCAGGACCATTCAAAGTACTGAACAAACATATCATTTAATTTCCTCAACAACCCTGAGAGATCTGTGGTATTGTACCCATTATTTTAGATAAAGAAACTGATAGTCATAAAAAGTACAACCACTTTCCTATTTGACTTCAACTGTTAATTATTTAATTCGCTATAGCCATATTAGAAATAATTGGGATAACAAAGATCTCTTAATAGGAGGCACTGGAGCTGATAATGCTAATATCCAGAGAAAAGAATCTGATTATCTTGGAAAGAGGTATCTTCAGAGGCTATTAACATACAGCACTCTGTACTGACTTATGCTTTACTTGGGGAAAATTCAAATTAAACTTGATTGTCTCTTCTGCTGCTTCTTTTCTCCATATTAATAGTTTAATCTGCATAGTGGGTGTTGGATGTGCACCTTACGGCTGTTTATAGCAATTGGTGAAGTACTTAACATTTTAAAGAAATTAACTGTCTGGTGAAGAGGACTCCAGAGGACAGAAGAGCAAGATATAGACAGGATGTCTGATAATTCTGGCATTCTGGAAGAAGGAGGATAAATGGAGTCGCTTTCTCCTGGTTCTCCTCCAGACTTGCTGACTTCTCTCATTTTTGGCTATTGTTTCTTTTTTTTCTAATTCCCTAAATGTAGACATACCCAAAGCTTATCCTTGGCCATCTCTTCCTCCAGTGCTGTGTTTCCTCCATGGGGTATTTCATCCATCTTGTGTCTCAGGAGGCAAGGTAAAGGGGCCCAGGGGAGGGGCATAAAAACCCCAAGACACCCAAGGGTGGTATTTAAACACACTTCGTGTGTGTGTAAAATCCTCCAATTCCAGCACAAGAAACTTCTGGAGAGTTACTTGAGGATTTCCCAGTCTTGCCCAGATTAAAACTATAGCCAATTGCCTGCAGTAAAAGAAGAGATTTGAACATATCCAGTTATCGAGTGAATAGACCCAGACACTTCCAAAGCCCTCCAGATCTTGTTATAAGGTTAGGCAGCCAGAACATAGGCAGATCACTTGAATCCCTCCTCCCCATAGTACTTGCCCATGACTCCAAACCACCTCTACAGCCTGAGGAGCTGGACTGGAGCCAATGAAACATCTCTCCTTTATTTCTTAATTTGTTGAAGAAAATAGAAAAGAATCCCTGGAGATTCTGTATAGTCTTATTAAGGATTTAGAAGAAAAGCATAAAGACTATTTCTGCTAGGGATTCAAGAAGCTGGATTTTGTGAGATTTGAAAATGAAGCTCTAGAGTGGATAGTGGAAGGAAAAGAGTATTAAAGGAACAGAGGAGATAAAGAAATTAACTTTGAATATCTATGAGGTGCCAGGCAACTGTAAACACACCAAATCACTCAACTCTCACAACAAATCTCCAAGGTTGGTATTATCAGATATTGATGTTCAAGTAAAGGTTCAGAAAGACTAAACCACCTGTCACACAACACTGAAGGGGCAGAGCTGGGATTTTTGTCCACGTCTATCTGACTTCAGTCTTTTTGCTCTACCATGCTATCACCTAGAACCTGGCCCAGTTCAAGGACAGAATATCTCTTTTTATTTTTATTTATTATTTATATTTATTTTTGAGACGGAGTCTCACTTTGTCACCCAGGCTGGAGTGCCGTGGTGGGATCTCAGCTCATTGCAGCCTCTGCATCCTGGCTTCTAGGTATTCTTCTGCCTCAGTCTCCCAAGTAGCTGGTATTACAGGCATCTGCCACCATGCCTGGCTAAATTTTGTATTTTTAGAAGGAATGGGGTTTCACCATGTTGGTCAGGTTGGTCTTGAACTCCTGACCTCAAGCAATCCACCCACCTTGGCCTCCCAAAGTGCTGAGATTACAGGCATGAGCCACTGTGCCAGGCCCAAGGAAGGGATGTCTCTAGCCTGGTCTCTCTCAGCCGGACATACTTGGGTTACCTTCTGGAGATCAAGTAGATAGACCTAGAGCACAGTCAGAGGAGAGAGAGACCTGATGCTGGACATATTTGTCATATGAGAAATTATAGCAGGAACTGGAGTTGATCAGCTTGGGGAAGAGAAAATTCTAGGGATATGGTAATCATCTTCAAATATTTGAAGGGCTGTCATGAGGAAGAGAGATTATACTTATCCTGAAAGGTCTCCAAGGGGTAGAAATAAAGATGATGGATGGCAATGACAGGCCGACAGACGTCAGCTCTATAAAAGGGAGACTTCTATCATACAGGACTAGAAAGATGGCTGCCTTGGAAAGAAGAAGGCTCCCTATCACCAGGGTGTCCAAGAGGAGGCAAACTGACGATATGGTAGCAATGCTTTCCAAATAATTCAAGGATTGATAAGCAAGAGAACTCAATTTCCTTAAAGCCCTCTGACAGCTCTGGCAATCTAATTTTGTGATCTATTTATACTGTCACTGCCTAAATCAGACTTGAAGTAACTATGCAATAGGAACTCTAACCCCATAGCTACATCCTGTGTCAACAAATAATTTTGTTGGAAGTAAAATTCATGGTCTTTACAATGTCCTACAAAGCCCTACATGCTATGGCCCCATCACTATCACTCCACTCCCAGACACATCAGCCTCCTTGCTGTGCTTTGAAAGTTCAGACATGTTAGAAGCTCAGAAAGTTAGAAGTTTTCCTGTGCTATTCTCTCTGCCAGGCACCCTCTTCCCCCAAAATAACCCTGTGGTTATCTCATCGACCTTCTTCAAGCATGTGCCCAATGCCCTATTCTCGGTAAGACGCTCCTGGAGAATTTTGTTTAAATTATTACTCAACCCTACATCCCACACCCCCATCCCCTCAATCTACTCAATTTTTTTCAGTGTTTATAATTTTCTAACATAGTGAATGATGTGCTTATTTATAATTATTCATTGTCCAACTCATCCCACTAAGACAGAAGCTCCATGAGGGCAGGAATTTTTTTTTTGCTGGGGGGTAGGGAGTGCTGGGGTGGGGTGGTTTTTTTTTTTTTTTTTTTTTGAGGGAAAAAGAGAAAAAGAAGGGGAAAAAAAGAAAAAGAGGGAAAAAGGAATATTACTTCATTCCTAAAATGGGTTTCAATAATGGCCAATCAATATTTTGACTGTTTAAAGTGGTTAATGCATATTTTATTTGTTTAAAATGGAGACCTCTATTGTGTTTATTTGTTCTGGCTCTGAGTTCAAGTCCTGGATATCGTTATCAATTTGTTGTCTCGTTGAATCTAAATCTCATTATGTGTCTTATGTATCTGAGTGTTAAGATCTCTTATTGTTGCATTAATCTTTTTACCCTTGCATCCTTGTAGCTCTGAAATCTATTTTATTAAGTGTGAGAATTGCAACTCCTGCTTTTTATTTGTTTATTTTTGCTCTCCATTTGGTTGGCGAGTTTTTTTCCATCCCCTTGTTTTGAGTCTTTGTATATCTTTAGATATATCGTTAGATTTTGTGGATAATGTATATTTTGTGTGTTTAAAATGGAGAGCTCTATTGAGTTTATTTGTTCTGGATCTTAGTTCCAGTCCCGGATATCGTTATCAATTTTCTGTCTCGTTGAATCTAAATCTCATTATGGGTCTTATGTATCTTCTGGGTGTTAAGATCTCTTATTATTACATTAATCCTTTTACCCTTGTATCCTTGTAGCTTTGAAATCTATTTTGTCAAATGTGAAAATTGCAACTCCTGCTTTTTATTTATTTATTTTTGCTCTCCATTTGGTTGGTACTTTTTTTTTTTCCAACCCTTTATTTTGAGTCTATGTATATCTTTGGATATACCGTTAGATTTTGTCTGTATCTTTTGATTGGGAGATTTGGTCAATTTAAATTTAGGGTTGCTGCCATTTGATATTAACTGGCTATTTTGTCCTTTCGTTGATAAAAATTTTTCTTTATGTTAATGCTCTTTACTTTTTGGTGTATTTTTAGAAAGGGTCATACTGGTTGTTCCTTTCTGTGTATAATGCTTCTTTTAGAAGTTCTTGTAAAGCAGGCCTGGTGGTAATAAAATCTCTGAGTGCTTGCTTGTTCCTAAAAGATTTTATTTTTCCTTCAAATGTAAAGCTTAAATTGGCAGGATATGAAATTCTGGGCTGAAAGTTCTGTTGATTAAGTATATTGAATATTGGCCCCCACTCTCTTCTAGCTTGTAGATTTCCATTGAGAGATCTGCTGTAAGCCTAATGGGCTTACCTTTATGGGTAACTTGATCTTTCTCTCTGGCTGCCCTTAATATTTTCTCCTTCGTTTCGATCTTGGTGAATCTAACGATTATGTGCCTTGGGGTTGGTCTTCTTGAGGAATATCTTTGTGGTGTTCTCTGTATTGCCTGGGGTTGAATAGTGTCCTGCTTTGCTAAATTAGGAAAATTTTCCTGGATAATGTCCTGGAGAGTATTTTCCAGCTTGAATTGATTCTCTCTGTCACATTCAGGTACACCAATCAAGCGTATATTAGGTCTTTTCACATAGTCCCATATTGCTTGGAGACTTTGCTCATTCCTTTTTATCCTTTTTTCTCTATTCTTGTCTTGTTGTTTTGTTTCATTAAGTTGATCTTCGACCTCTGATACCCTTTCTTCTGCTTGATCCATTCGGCTGTTTAAGCTTGTACATATTTCACTAAGTTCTCGTGTTGTATTTTTCAACTCCATAAGTTCATTTGTATTCCTCTCTATATTGTCTATTCTTTTCAACATTTCATCGAACCTTTTTTCCAAGTTCTTAGTTTCTTTACATTGGGTTAGAACAAGTTCCTTTAACTCCCAGAAGTTTCTTATCATCCACCTTTTAAAGCCTACTTCAGATAATGGAACACAGTCCTTTTCCATCAGGGCTTGTTCCGTTGCTGATGGTTTCTGATTTTGAGTATACTCGGCCTTCTTAGGCTGTTTTTTCCCCTTCATTGTAGATGAACCGCCTTTCTAATTAGGTTTCTGAGTCGACGTCCAACTTATTGATTCCCAGTGCTGGGATCTGAGCAACCCACTGTGGCAGCCTAAATAGCAGTGATAAGACTGATGGTGCTCTTCTGCCCGGGAATCTCTGGTCTGGCTTCCCTCTTGAGTCCGCAACAAGTGGCTCTGACTTCCCGGAGCTCCAAACTCCGGTCAGTAGGGGAAGCAGTCCCGTTGGCTCTGCATGAAGAACTGCTGCGCCGAGACGCCTGCAAAACTGCTGCGGTGGCCATAAGAGTCGCGCTGGCGACCCGTGGGGCTCCTCCACTGGGAATCGGCTGATTGGTGAGTGACGAAAATTCGTCTAAAAGTGTGGCGTCGTCTCGTTCTCTGGGCTTTCACTGGGAGCTACAATCCTGAGCTGTTAGTAGTCGGCCATCTTGGATCGATCGAGGGCAGGAATTTTTTTTTTATCATTTTATTCTCAGTTGACTCCCAAGCACATAAATAGTACCAGACACAAATTACTCAATAAATATTTGTGGAATGAATACATGGATAAATGAATGAGATTTCTTTTCATTCTCAATCCCCTTCTTAAGAGGAAGTTCTTCTGTAAGGCTACATAAAGAAGCAAAAAAGAAAAAAAAAAAAAGGTCAAGCATGGTGGCTTGTACCTGTAATCCCAGCATTTGGGAGAGCAAGGTAGGACGATCACTTGAGCCCAGGAGTTCAAGACCAGCCTGAGCAACATAGTGAGACCCCATCTCTATAAAAAACTTAAAAATTGGCTGGATGTGGTGCATGTGCCTGTAGTCCCAGCTGCTCAGGAGGCTGAGGTAGCAGGATCTTTTGAGCCCAGGATTTCACGGTTGCAATGTGCTATGATCATGCCACTGCACTCCTGTATCAGTGACAAAGTGAGACCCTGTTTCAAAAAATAAGGAAGAAGAAGAAGGACGGGGAGGAGAAGGAGGAGGAAGAGGAAGGAGGAAGAAGAAGGAAGAAGAAGAAGAAAAAAAAGAAAGATGAAGAAAGAAGGAGAAGAAGAAGGAGGAGGAGAAGAAACAACCTAGCATGGTAACACATCTATATTCAGCTGTGAGATGGATTTGGTGGTCAAAGTCAGCAAGAAGAGTTGTCTTAACAGATACTCTGTTCTGAAGAAAATGAAAGACTTATTTTCTCCAGTGTCGAAATGGATCTGGAGTTGTGATGACCTAGTTTGAAAACAGGATACTGTTGGAATACAGAGGAATTCATGAGGAAGCAGATGGAAAGAAATCATGAAAGGAAGGAAATTCCCAGAAGCTCATCCATGGGGGACTCAGCATAGATGATAACAATTGCTGACCGTTTATTGAGAACTTAACATGCACCAGGCACTCTTTTAAATACTTTCTAAGGATTATCTCACACTGTAATTAACCTTGTGAAATAGGACCTACTATTATCCCCATTTTCCAGATGAGAAAAATGAGGCATGGCAAGTCAATGTGCTCAAAGTCTTACAATTACTAATCCTAAATTATAAATACTCTAGAATTTGGGGATTCAAAACCCTCAGCTCTTGAGCCTGTGCTCTTAAGTATTAAGTTCCACTGCCTGAAAAATAAATAAACAAAAGTGTGATTAAGTACTAGTGTCTGGACATCTCTCTGGTATTGGCTGAGCCTATACATGCTGTGCCAGTAACACGGTACTCCCTCACAACATAGCAAAGCCATCCTGCTTCCTATGACATCGATACTTTCTGAATGGTGTGGCATTCAGCCTGAGACAGATTTCCTACTGGCACAGACAAGACAAAAATACTAACATTTGGACTGTGTTTTAAAACCTATGAATAGAAATATTTTTATTTGATCCTCACAGAAAATATGTGAAGTATTATAAGCTGTCTCTCTTGAAGAAGGGAAATCTAACACACAGCTAATGAGCTGTGGTGTGGAGACCACAACCCCAGTCATTTGGCCCAAGGTGCATACTTTTTCCATGACGCCATGCTGCCATCAACTACAGAAGGTTGTCTAGACCACTTCAACATCTAGGATCCCCATTAGCCTATTAAAAATAGGATATCATCTCTGTGTCATTGATCTTAAAGAATGGTTGATTATAATGCAACTATGTTTAGGTCTTAATTTTTGGGTTTCAGATGCAAAGCTGGGGTATATATCAAGGGTGTGTGTGTGTGTGTGTGTGTGTGTGTGTGTGTTAGGCCTGTGCTGTCCAATACAATAGCTGCTCAGGCTACATGTGGCTATTAAACACAGTTATCTATGACTAGTGTTACTGAGAAGTTAAATTTTTTATTTTATTTTACTTTTTTGAGATAGAGTCTCACTCTGTTGCCCAGGCTTGACTGTAGTGGCACAATCTCAGCTCACTGCAACCTATGTTTTGCTAATTCAAGCGATTCTCCTGCCTCAGCCTCCCAAGTAGCTGGGATTACAGACACGTGCCACCAAGCCTGGCTAATTTTTACATTTTTAGTAGAGACAAGGGTTTGCCATGCTGGCCAGGCTGGTCTTGAACTCCTGACCTCAGGTGATCTACTTGCCTCAGCCTCCCAAAGTGCTGGGATTACAGATGCGAGCCATCGTGCCCAGCCTAAAATTTTTATTATTAATTTAGATTTAGATTTAAATTTTAAAATGGAAACATCATAAAATTTTTTTATTAAACTCAACATTATTGTTTTGATTGAACTCTACCTCACTTTAGCCTTTGCATGGCCTCAGATAGCAGTGCTGTATAGTGATGCACTTTTTGGATGTATCTGTGACTTCCACTATTATGCATAAGTACATCACTGATCTAGTCAGTGTGGATGGATTGATTCAGTTTAAATGTGTTTTTCCTACACAGCAAGGATAATATTGTAACATTATCCTTGAATATTTTATGTTAACAACTCTAATTACTGTGGTAACTATGTGAATTTTAATTGGTAATTAACTTGAAGAGCTTGTTATTATTTTACTTATAATACAATTAAATTATTTTTAGCATAAAAAATAAGTATGGACAAATTTTTCTAACTAAAACAATGGAGATGCAGAAACTAATACTATGATTAGAATAGGAAAGAAAATAAGAGATTAGAAGAAAACATAATGTAAATTTTACAATGAATGGTAATTGCAATTTACTGCAGCAGAACAAAACTAAGAAGCCCTCTGTTTTGTTAAAAAAAAAAGAGAGAGAGAGAGAGAGGGAGAAAGAAAGAAAGAAAGAAAGAAAGAAAGAAAGAAAGAAAGAAAGAAAGAAAGAAAGAAAGAAAGAAAAATGTAATAGACAGTATCAAGACATTTACAGCAAATACTTAATGAATTTGGTAAGTTCCTCCTGAACAATTAAAAAATGATTAACTGAACTAGCCACATGACATCAGAATTAAACATCAGTCAAAATATTTACATTATTTTTAACAGAATCCAGGCTTGTAGGAAGAAAAATACTAAAAATGTTATTTTATAAAAAGTGGAAGACCTTCAATTATGCCACCAAATATTTGTCCCTAGAATAGAAGACTTTTCTAACAATATCAAAGAGAAATTGATTCAAATTTGAAAAAAATTGAAAGGACTTCATTTTAGCTTTAAATGAGTGGAAAATAATGGAAACACTACCCAAGTAATACTTTAGGGGCAGGTTGTCTCAAAATGCTTGCAAATTTAGAAGAAAGAAATCTGTTATCAACCCATGACCTAAAATATGAAACTTGTAGCAAAGTTATTTTAAACAATTTTTTGTCTACCAAAGAAGAATTTTACTTAGATGTGGGGAAAAAAAGTTTCTATCATGGTGGATGACACTCAAGCTATTTTAGATATTTTTATATCCAGATTTATTGGAATTTATAACAACAGGCTGATACTATCTTTATTGCTTCATTTTACTAAGTACTGTGAAAATATTTGTACGCCGAAGCATATTCTGTGAAAGGTGTCATGTGCACAGGTGTTAAAATTTTTCAGTATATACACGTAAAAGTTGTGAATCACTGCCAAATATGGATCTATTGAACAAAATAGAAGACAATTAACTTAATGATTTTGTGATGTTTGCCAGTGTTTATCAGTTGAGTGGTGGAACAGTAATACTAAAATTTGCTATATTATTAACTTCAATTCAAGACACACTTGAAACAAAATTCACCAAATGAAAGACAAAAAATGACATTGTGATTCCATTCCTAGACAATATTCCACTCCTAAACAAGCTAAATTTGAAGTTTCATGGAAAGAAGAGGTTTACTTGTGACACAGCAAGACCAGTATGAGAATTTGCTGAAATTATCATTATCATTATACAAATCAATAATAATTACATTCCATATTTTCTAAGGTGAATTAATATGCAGAAGATTGTAACTGACAGTATTATGTACATTGGCTGCAAAAATGACAGGACAAGCATTGTATTTATATTATTTATTTAGAGCTGCTTTCAAATTTTTGCAATACCCCTTTGAACCCAATGTTGATACTGAGTTGACATAAAAGTTAGTAAATTTACTATGGACGGACACGGTTTTGAAAGGAATATGCTTTGGCTACAAAGTCAAATTGATTGTTCTAAAACCGATGAGCCAGTTTTATCAATATAGATTTGAAAATTAAATGAAAATGATGTTTTGGTATTCCATTTTGTTTTTAGAAAACTTTTAAGTACGTTTTTAACAGCTTGAGCATGTGATTCTACTGTTTTGTTTTGTTTTTCAGATGGGGTCTTGCTCTGTTGTCACCCAGGCTGGAGTGCAGTGGTGTGATCTCGGCTCACTGCAACTTCCACCTCCCGGGTTCAAGTGATTCTCCTGCCTCAGCCTCCTGAGTACCTGGGACTACAGGCATGTGCCGCGATACCCAGTTAATTTTTTGTATTTTTAGTAGATATAGGGTTTTGCCGTGTTGGTTAGCCTGCTCTTGAACTCCTGACCTCAGGTGATCCACCAGCCTTGGCCTCCCAAAGTGCCGGGATTACAGGTGTCCACTACCAGTCCTGACCAATTCTACTGTTTTGGAGAATATATTTTATAAAAAATAAATAAAATATTTCTGATGAAAATTAGCTTCTAAATTAAGATGTGCTGTCAGTGTAAAACACTCACTAGATTTTGAGGATGTTGTTACGATAAAAAGAATGTGAACTATCTTATTGATAATTTTCCATATTGATTAGATGTTAAAATGGTAATATTTGTATATATTAGATTAAATAAATTACATTTTGAAAATAATTTGATCTATTTTTTTTTTTTACTTTTTAATGTGACTGCTAGAAAATTTAAAATTACATATGTGGCTTACATTATATTTCTTTTTGTTGTTTTGTTTTGTTTTGTTTGAGACCAGGTCTCACTCTGTCACCTAGCTGACGTGCAGTGGTGCTCTCATGGCTCACTGCAGTCTCGACCCCTTGGGGCTCAAGCAATCCTCCTACCTCAGCTCCCAAGTAGCTGGTACTACAGGTGTGAGACATCACACCTGGCTTTTTTTTTTTTTTGGAGAGACAGGGTCCCACTATGTTGTCCAGGCTGATCTCAAACTCCTGGACTCAAGCCATCTTCCCACCTTGGCCTCCCAAAGTGTTGGGATTACAGGCTGAGCCACTGTCCCTGGCTTTGCATTATATTTCTATGAGAAAGCACAGTATTAAGCAATGATGCTATAGAGATCAACAAGACCTAGTTTCTTCCTTCAAGCAGAAAACTAAATACAGAAGCAGCCCATCATAAAACATCTTAGAAATCAAGGGATGGCATCAGAGAGAGTGTACCTAACTCAGCTTGGGGAAACCAAAGAGGACCTCTTGGAGGAGTTGATAACCGAATTTGATTTTTTTTTTTTTTTTTTTGAGACGGAGTTTCGCTCTTGTTACCCAGGCTGGAGTGCAATGGCACGATCTCGGCTCACCGCAATCTCCGCCTCCTGGATTCAGGCAATTCTCCTGCCTCAGTCTCCCGAGCAGCTGGGATTACAGGCACGCACCACCGTGCCCAGCTAATTTTTTGTAATTTTAGTAGAGACGGGGTTTCACCATGTTGACCAAGATGGTCTCGATCTGTTGACCTCGTGATCCACCCGCCTCAGCCTCCCAAAGTGCTGGGATTACAGGCTTGAGCTACCGCGCCCGGCCCCAAATTTGATTTTAAAAGAGAAGTAGAGATTAAATAAATGAGAAAAAATAAACATGACTTTCCAGTGGAATGGTCATTATCAACAATGAGCTATAATAGTGAAGTAGCATACTCACGTGGGAGATAAAAAGCAGTTCTGGTTTACTGGGGTGTAAAGTTTAAGGAGGATATGGCTGGAGATCAGGCTGAAGAGGCAAATTAGACTCTGAGGGGCCTGGTGGACTGAGCTAAGATTGAGACTTATTCTACAGGCAACAGCGAAGGGTTTTAATAGAGCACTCAGGCAGTAAACCCTGTAAACACTATTTCCTGGAGTTTTTCCTTTCCCAATCTGTTTCACTGTGGAAGTGGGGGCACTGGTCATTTTCACTGCTTGGTTGAACTGAGTCAGTGGCAGGGACCTTTCTTGAGAGATTACCTCATATTGTATGGCAGCTGGTTTCATGTCACTAGAGATAGTTGTCCCTCATATAACACACTTCAAACTCACACAGCTGATTAATTTAGCCTTAAATCTCAGCATTTATTTATTCCACTGATCACCTTCTGATATATTATAAATTTTTTTGTGGTTCAGACTTTCCTCCACTGAAATGTAAGCTTAGTGAAACAGAGATTCTGTCAGTTCATGACTGTATCCCTAGAGACTTTCATATAGCAAGTGTTCAGTGAGTACTTTTGAACAAATAATCACATTAGATAATATGGTGACACATCCTGACAATGTGTAGTATTGTAATCTAGCTCTACTGCACTCTGTAATTACTTGTCTATGATACCTAAGGAAGAAAAATTACATCAGCAGGAAGTCCTATCTCTGAATGATGCTGACTTAACTGGCCCAAAATTACAACAAATTTAAAGTCAAGGAAGGCAAGCCATCTCTAAAAAATTAAGGCAGCCCAGCATAATGAAAGAACAAAGACTTGAGACTCCCATTGACATGAGTTTTCCTCCCCAGCTCAGGTATTTACTTGCTGTGTGACACTGTCCAAAGTAATTCACACCTCTAAGCCTTAATTTCCTCATTCATAAGAAGCAGCAATAAAACTGA